ATTAACCATGGAAGCATGCAATTTTTTAAATGAAGAGTTCTTTAGCTATTCTTTTAAATTCAAAATTTAACTCTTCTAATGCGGTAGCTAGATCACATTGCCTATAAAAAGATTCGCTTTCGGTGTCGGATATAATTACCTCATCTTTATTGGCCATAAAACAAATGTTATAGTCATGAAGAGCAAACTTAGCTCCCTCCTCATCGCTATCCGAGTCACTTGGTTCGGATTTATCCCATCCGGCATATATCACCCTCTTTTTCTTGTACTTTAAGTATTTCTCTTTGATCTTTGGGCAATCCTTGGCTTGATGACCCGATTCATTACACTCAAAACATTTTCCTATACGAGGAGAAAAATTGTTGTTAGATCGGTTAAGATTTTTGTTTAATTTTATTAGTTTAGAAATTCTTCTAGAGAGGTGAGCCACTTCTCTAGAAACACCGGTTTCACTATCCAAGGAGGAGGAGTCATCAATAGCTCCTTTAAGAGCAATTGTCTTCTTTTAGGGTGGCTCCTCGATTAACCGTGGGGGTTCTTCCTCCTTCTCTTCTCTTTGATTTTCTTCTCATGGACCTTGAGCTTTCCAATGAGACCATCAAGGGGAAGTGTGGTGAGATCGTGAGCTTCCTCTATGGCCGTAGCTTTGGGCTCCCACACCGGAAACAATGATCGAAGAATCATGTAGTTCATCTCTTGGGGTGACAACTTCTTATCTAAGCCATGCAATTCATTGATAATATTAGTGAAGCGAGAAAACATAGCATCAATTGATTCATTAGGAAGCATTTTAAACAATTCATAATCATACATGAGCCCACTAATTTTTTATTCCTTAACTTGCGGGGTTCCCTCATGTGTGATGCAAAGTTTGGTCTAAATCTCATATGCGGTAGCACAAGTAGAAACCCTATTGTATTCATTTGGTGTGAGGCCACAAATTAAGACATTCATAGCCTTTACATTGAGATTGGCTTGGAGCCTCTCACCATCGGTCATTGAGCTAGTTTTAGACTTTTCTACATATTTCTTTTCAATGATATCTAGGATGTCAAGGTCAATGAAACGAAGATAGATTCTCATCCTAGCTTTCCAATATGCAAAATTACTACCGGTGAAAAGTGGGGGTCTAGTGGTTGATGTAGGATCTGAAATAGATACACTTAAACACTAGAGGGGGGGGGGGGGAATAGGGTTCTTTTAAAATTTATGCAAAGTATATTATAAATTGCAAAGAAAAATGGCAATCTCAGAAATTCACAATCACAAACACAAGGATTTTATACTGGTTCCACCAATCCGGTGTACATCCAGTCCCCAAGCAAATCCCGCTTGAGAGTTTTCACTATGATTTTGAATAAACTTACAAAATCAAACGCAAACCTGACCAATTTGCAAGTCCCTGAAAATTGCAACACCAATTGACAAACACCTTGCCAATTTGAACACTAATCTCTAAACCAAGAGATTAACCCTCTCAAACCCGAGAGAAATCCTTGTTGAAGAAAGAACACAATTGATCCTATAAGCCTTGAATGTGTAGTGAAGTGCAGCCGTGGTTTAGGATTCTTTTAACCTCTGTAAATTGCCTAAATGATAGGTATTTGATGAATATTTAGTGGCAATTTTAGAAACTTCTATTTTTCACAAAATCTGAATATTTTTCACTTGAAAAATTGCACAAAGATCAAAGCTTATGGGTATGTAAGTCTCTGCAATTTTTCTGAACAAATAACCTATTTATAGCCCTTGAAAAGACAAATTTTTGAACTTTAAAAATGTTTAAAAACGGCTGTAAACAGTCATAAATTCAAACTTTGAATACTGAAAAACTGTATCTGTAGTCGACTACTATTGACATTAGTCGACTACACTGAGTTCAAACAGACTCTGTGTATTCAGAAAATTTTCTCAGTAGTCGACTATAATGCTCATTAGTCGACTACACTGTATTTTGACAAAAACTGATAAATTGAAATTTGAGTTCAGTAGTCGACTATAATGATGATTAGTCGACTACACTGTAAATAACAGAAACTTATGTTTCTGTCAAACACCTGAGTAGTCGACTATAATCACTATTAGTCGACTATACTGTAAATTGACAGAAATATGTATTTGAGTTTTATACACGAGTAGTCGACTACTATTCTAATTAGTCGACTACTAAGAGTAAAAATTCTGCTATAAAAAGTTTTGATACTCAATTATTAACTATAACTCTAATGGTTAACATAGGGGATTTCTATAGTTAACCAACACACTAAGCCTGTGTTAGTGTGTTCTAAAATTGTGTGTGTGCGTGTGTGTGATCAAGGCTTGTACAATTATTCTAAGTAAAGAAAATGTAAAATACATTATCTCATTTGTTCTTCATTTTCTTCACTTCAAAATGCCTTGAAATCAACTTGCACTTGAACATATTCTGATATTGAAATCTGCATATAAAAGTTAGTGCACACACTGTATAAATTATTATCATCAAAACACTATCATGGAGATATGATATTCAACATTCTCCCCTTTTTTGATGATAACAAATAATTTATGCCAAAGTATGTATTTTATAATCAGGTTAAAACATTTGATGATAACAAATAATTTATGCCAAAGTATGTATTTTATAATCAGGTTAAAACATAATGAAATAATCGTACTTACTCCCCCTGCATATAATACTTACTCCCCCTGCATATATGCAAATTTGAGTCTATAATAGTACATAACATAACTAAACTATAACAGTACATAACATAACTATTTCTCCCCCTTTGTTATCAACAAAAAGAGGAAGCTAAACATGACATTATTTCTTCAACATGAGCTAAAACTTCAAACAAATCATCAAGATTATGAACATAGTCCATAACTTCACCCATCCAAATAGGTAGGCAAAGACTTGCCATAAAGATCAAAAGTTCCACAATGTTCATCACCATGATCTGTTTAAAATATGTAGCACATGCATTATCTAACCAAACATTATCATAGATAATAAAAACACACAATTAACATAAGTGACATAGTAGCAACATAAGAAACATATTACATAAGTCCTAACAACACACAACCACATAGTTTTTGAAACTTAAACAGAATAACATAATTGTTTTGACACTTAATATAAAAACATCTTAAGGTGCTGGAGGAGGTTGCTGTCCTTGAAAATACGTATTAAGCTTTGTGTCCAAGTCTTCAAACTTCTTGATTAGCTCTTCTTGATTACTAATGATGTATGAATTCTGTGCATATAGAGCTCTTTGACCAGTTTCAAGTTCAAGGATACGTGCACTTAAAGTGTTGTATTGCACGTCTGAAAAGCATGAGGGTTCTGTAGGAAATGGTGGTGGTTGACTTGAAGAAGCTCCTGCTTGAGTTGAGGATTGTGGAATTTCTTCTTGATGAGATTCAAGTTCATTTTGAGGATTTTGTTCTTGAATTTCAAAGTTTGTCAATTTCATCCTAGTTAGGACATTTGAATCAAAAAATTCAATTGAACGGACAACAGAATTTTCATATTGGAGATCGACATGGAAATTGTCAAATATTTTAGTTAGGAATGCACCATAAGGAAGAAATCCTCTTGGAATAGTCAGAAGATTGTCAAAGTAAACTTCAGCTCAATTAACTTGAATATTTCCCATTATAGCATATAGAGCTTTTGCTAAATCTAGGGAAATGAAATAAAAACTTCTAGTTTTTGGAAACAAGTTATAGGCTAGGATTCGAGCAATGAACCTAGGAATTGGACGAAGTTTGTTTGAGTTATTTAAAGGTTTGCCATATCCAGGAAGAAATATATGATTAGATAACAGATCTGAATCATTCGTTCTAACAGACCTAAGAGAAACTCCTTGATAAGGAATATTGAAGATTTTACCAATTGACTTTGTAGTTAAGTCAATCTTTATTCCTTTAACAAGAGTTTTGAGTTTTTCAGAACCACTAATAGTTCCCACACGTTCTATATTAGTATAGAACAGTTGCACTAGAAATGGATATGTGGGTTTTTTATTTTCAGCAGAGAATAATTCAAGCAAGCCCACATTTTCAAAATATGACCCAAAATTCCAGGGAATAAAATCATCAAATTTCACAAATCGTCCTGGAAGAACTTCAAAAGATGATATTTTGTTAAATTCTTCTAATAAATCAGGACTTTTTAAATAGATGATGATTTCATCATTAACAGAAGTATGGGTTTGCTTAGCTTTCTTAGATCTAGACAATATTAGATAGATAAATAACAGAAAATGTAAAGATCAAACTGAAGAGAAGAAGATGGGGAAGATGGGTTTTCGGTTTTGGGTAGAGTTAGTGGGTTATTTTTGCTTTTTAATTTATCTTTTAATAATGTAAGGTTTAGATTAGATGGTAAATAGAATGTAGGGTCAAGATTAAATTTTAGATGAATGGTTAGGATTGGTGCAGTTAAAAATGAATGGTTTAGATGATTTTTACTAAAGTAAAACGGGTAGGGTTATTGGATATTGGGTTTAAAACATAAAAAATCCACTTTTTTTAATAAACTAAAGGTTCAGAATTAGTAGTCGACTAATAGTCAAAATAGTCGACTATACTGTAAAAGATAGAAGGTTAAGTTTTAGTTTTTAACTCTGAGTAGTCGACCAATATGTGAATTAGTCGACTACACTGTAATCAACAGAGAGTATTTTTAAGATTTTACATTGAGTAGTCGACTATAAAGGTAAGTAGTCGACTATAATCTGATTTTTCAGAAAAATAGTTTGTAAGAATTGTGCATGTAGTCGACTATAAGTTAGATTAATCGACTACTTAAGGTTTAAATTTATGTATTTTTGTTTTAAAAATTAATTTAAATCTTCAATTGAACATATACCTAATTCCCTTCTTAATTTAACATAAACTTCTTCTTTTAGTGGTTTTGTTAATATATCTGCAATTTGTTTATCTGTAGGTATAAACTCTAATGAAATGTCACCTTTAAGCACATGATCACGTAAAAAATGATGTCTAATATCAATGTGTTTTGTACATGAGTGTTGAATAGGATTTTTAGATAAATTAATTGCACTAGAATTATCACACATAATAGATGATATGGGACAATTTATGCCATAATCATGTAAAGTTTGTTTCATCCATAATATTTGTGCACATGCAAGACTTGCAGCAATATATTCAGCTTCACTTGTTGATAATGACACTGAATTTTGTTTTTTACTAAACCAAAATACAAGTGAATGTCCTAAGAAATGACATGTTCCACTTGTACTTTTTCTATCAGATTTACATCCGGCAAAATCAGCATCACTATATGATATTAAATCAAATGAACTATGTTTTGGATAAAATAAACCATAATTTGTAGTATCTTTAATATATCTAAATATTCTTTTTACTGCTTTAAGATGTGAATCTTTAGGATTAGATTGAAATCTTGCACATAAACATACACTAAACATAATATCAGGTCTACTAGCAGTAATGTAAAGAAGTGATCCAATCATACCTCGATAGAGCTTTTGATCAACATTCTTACCATTTTCATCTTGGTCAAGTGATGTAGTGGTGCTCATTGGTGTTGGTTTGCATGTTGAATTTTCCAATCTGAAACGTTTGAGTAAATCTTTTGCACACTTGCTTTGATTGATGAATATTCCTTCTTTCAATTGTTTAATTTGAAGTCCAAGGAAGAAATTTAGTTCACCCATGTGACTCATTTCAAATTCATCCTGCATAGTCTTAGCAAATTCTTGACAAAGATTGTTGTTAGTAGAACCAAAAATAATATCATCTACATATATTTGAATTAGTAAAATATCTTTATTTATTTTCTTAATAAATAATGTTGAATCAACTTTTCCAATTTCAAAACCTGAAGTTAAAAGAAACTTCTTTAATCTATCATACCAAGCACGAGGTGCTTGTTTAAGACCATATAATGCTTTCTTAAGCTTAAAAACATGATTTGGAAAACTTTCATGTTCAAAACCTGGAGGTTGTTCTACAAAAACTTCTTCTTTTATAAAACCATTTAGAAAAGCACTTTTAACATCCATTTGAAATAATTTAAAATTCATAAAACATGCAAATGCAAGTAAAATCCTAATTGATTCTAATCGTGCAACTGGTGCATAAGTTTCATCATAATCAATTCCTTCTTCTTGATTATAACCTTGAGCAACTAATCTAGCTTTGTTTCTAACAACTTGACCAAATTCATCTAATTTGTTTCTAAAAATCCATTTTGTTCCAATAATGGATTTATTTTGAGGTCTAGGTATAATATCCCAAACATTATTTCTAGTAAATTGATTAAGTTCATCTTGCATAGCAATTATCCATGAATCATCAAGAAGTGCTTCTTTTATATTTTTAGGTTCAATAGTTGAAATAAAAGCATTATGAGCAATCAAATTAAAATGAGATCTAGTAGTTACTTTGTCAGATATATTTCCTATAACTAAATCATGTGGATGATTTTTAACTTCTACAAAATCTTTAGGTAAATCATTTTGTAGATTATCATCTTTTGTAATATCTATCATAGGAGTATCTTGTATGGTATCAATTACATCATCATCATTATTTAGTATAATAGGTATTTTTGAAAAACTTTCATCAAAAGAAACATGTAAAGATTCTTCAATAACTTGTGTTCTTTTGTTATAAATTCTATATGCTTTACTGTGATTAGAATATCCAACAAAAATTCCTTCATCGGATTTTGAATCAAATTTATCTAAGTTATCCTTTGTATTTAAGATAAAACATTTACAACCAAAAACTTTAAAGTAAGATACTTTAGGAATTTTGTTATAAAATAATTCATAAGATGTTTTCTTTAAAATAGGTCGTAATAAAACTCTATTTAATACATAACATGCTGTTGATACGGCTTCTGCCCAAAAATATTTAGGTAAATTACTATCACATAACATGGTTCTAGCACATTCTTGTAAGGTTCTATTTTTCCTTTCTACAACTCCATTTTGTGGAGCAGCTCGAGGAAAAGAGAATGTGTGTGATATACCATGTTGATCACAATAATTTGCAAATAATTCATTTTCAAATTCACCTCCATGATCACTACGTATAGAGATAATAGAAGTTGATTTTTGATTTTGAATTTTCTTGCAAAATATAGAAAACTCATTAAAAGCATCATTTTTATGTTTAAGAAAAATTACCCAAGTGAATCTAGAAAAATCATCAACAAGAACAAATGCATATCTACTTCCATTTAAAGATGCTACTCTAGATGGACCAAAAAGATCTATATGAATTAATTCTAATGGTCTATTTGTAGATATTATGTTTTTAGATTTAAAAGAAGATTTGTGCATTTTTCCTTGTTGACATGCATCACAAAAATTATTTTTAAATGACATCTTAGGCAAACCATTTACTGAATCATTTTTAGAAATCTTAGACATATGTTTAAAGTTAACATGTCCAAAACGTTTATGCCATAAAATAGAATCATTAGATGATGCAATAAGACAATGTTCATTTGAAATATTATTCATTGATAACACATATATGTTATTTTTTCTATAACCTTTAAAAATACATAGATAACACATATATGTTATTCTTTCTATAACCTTTAAAGATAATAGTTATTAAATCAATATCATAAATTAAGCATGATTCTTTTTCAAAAACAATTTTAAAACCTTTATCACAAAGTTGACTAATACTTAGTAAATTATGTTTAAGACCATCAACTAATAGAACATTATCAATGATAGGTTTGTTTGGATTACCGACGGATCCAATACCGATGACTTTTCCTTTGTTGTTATCTCCAAAAGTAACGGTACCTCCATCCTTGTTTTGAAAAGATGACAACAATTGTATGTTTCCAGTCATATGTTTGGAGCAACCACTATCCAAAATCCACCTATCTTTCTTGGGTACCTGAAATAATAAACATTTACATTTTGGTACCCATACTATGTTGGGTCCTTTAAATTAGCCTTTAGGAAACCAAACCCATGAAGAGTTTGATTTGCCTAAATAGTTAGGTGATAAACAAATATTTTTAATAAAATCAGAAATATAAAAATTCTTATGTAAAGAAGATAATTCTTTTGGAACCCAAATAGAAAAGAATTTTGATTTCTTTTTACACAAATTTTCAGTTCTATAATCATACAAATCATGAGAAGGTTTTACAAAAATTGTTTTCTTTGATTTATTTTTATTAAATTGAAAACCTAATCCTTTTGTCTTTTGTGATTCTCTTTGAAAAGAAAGAATATTATTAAGATTTTCTTTACCTTTATTAAATTTGCTTACATTTAAACATATATCCTCATACCTTGATTTAAAAGAAGAAATATATTTATCTAAACTATTAATTCGAATATTTAAATCATTACATTCTGATTTTAAATAATTATCCTCATTAGATAAACATTCATTTTCTTTATGTAAAGAAAAATTTTCTTCTTTTAATTCAATTATTTGAGAATTAGAAAAAGTAGAGGAATTTAAATTAGATATTTCTTCAAGTAATCTTTTATTTTCACCTTTAAGAAAATTATGTGATGTTTTTAATCTTACAAAAGTTTCATATAATTCATTGAAAGCATCTAAAAGTTCTTCATTTTCACTTACTTCATCTTGTGCCATGAAACACATGTGAGCACTTTCCTTTTCTTCAATTTCTTCATCTGAGGATGATTCATCACTATCATCCCAAGTGACCGCCATTGCTTTCCTCTTCTTGTTATTTTGAATATTGTTGAAGTTGTTGAAATAACTTGATTTTTGTTTATTCTTCAACATTGGACAATCTTTCTTCATATGACCTGGTTTATTACACTTAAAACAAAGAGGGTTAGTTGAATTTGAATTCTTAAATTTAAAATTACCTCTTTTGATGAATTTTCGAAATTTTCGTGCAAACATGCCCATTTCTTCATCATCATCATCTGAATCTTCTTTATCAGAAATAGTATTGAATGCAAGAACTTTCTTATTCTTAGATTCTTCATCATTCTTCCTATCTTCAAGTTGTACTTCATATGCCATAAGATTACCAATAAGATTTTCAACCGTAAGAGTTGACAAATCATTGGCTTCTTCAATAGCGGTAACTTTCTTTTCCCATTGTGGAGTAAGTGAACGAAGTATCTTTCTTACCATCTCCACTTGAGTATATGTTTTTCCAAGACCAATAAGAGAATTTGTGATGTCGGTGAATCTTGTGAACATTTCTCCAATAGTCTCATTTTCCTTCATCTTGAATAATTCAAATTTGTGCACAAGAACAGAAATTTTAGATTCTTTAACTTTATTTGTACCTTCATGAGTTACATTGAGTGTGTGCCAAATATCATATGCGGATGTGGCCGTTGACACCCTATTGAACTCATTCTTGTCAAGTGCACAAAATAAGGCATTCATTGCTTTAGAATCCAAATTTGTATTGTTCCTTTGAGATGTAGTCTATTCCGCGAAAGAAGTGGTTGGCTTCTCATATTTCGTTTCCACGACGTTCCAAAGTTCGTAGCCAATTGATTGAAGATAAATTTTCATTCGGCACTTCCAATAGTTGTAGTTCAATCCATCGAACATTGGTGGACGATTTGTTGAGTTCAATCCATCGAACATTGGTGGACGATTTGTTGAGTGACCTTCTTTGAATTGTGAAGTATTTGTCGATGCCATCTTTCACCTTGCTCTGATACCAAATGTAGGATCTGAAATAGATACACTTGAACACTAGAGGAGGGGTGAATAGTGTTCTTTTAAAATTTATGCAAAGTATATTATAAATTGCAAAGAAAAATGGTAATCTCAGAAATTCACAATCACAAACACAAGGATTTTATACTGGTTCTACCAATCCGGTGTACATCCAGTCCCCAAGCAAATCCCGCTTGAGAGTTTTCACTATGATTTTGAATAAACTTACAAAATCAAACACAAACCTGACCAATTTGCAAGTCCCTGCAAATTGCAACACCAATTGACAAACACCTTACCAATTTGATCACCAATCTCTAAACCAAGAGATTAACCCTCTCAAACCCGAGAGAAATCCTTGTTGAAGAAAGAACACTATTGATCCTATAAGCCTTGAATGTGTAGTGAAGTGCAGCCGTGGTTTAGGATTCTTTTAACCTCTGTAAATTGCCTAAATGATAGGTATTTGATGAATATTTAGTGGCAATTTCAGAAACTTCTCTTTTTCACAAAATCTGAATATTTTTCACTTGAAAAATTACACAAAGATCAAAGCTTATGGGTATGTAAGTCTCTGCAATTTTTCTGAACAAATAACCTATTTATAGCCCTTGAAAAGACAAATTTTTGAACTTTAAAAACGTTTAAAAACGGCTATAAACAGTCATAAATTCAAACTTTGAATACTGAAAAAACTGTATCTGTAGTCGACTGCTATTGACATTAGCCGACTACACTGAGTTCAAACAGACTCTGTGTATTCAGAAAATTTTCTCAGTAGTCGACTATAATGCTCATTAGTCGACTACACTGTATTTTAACAGAAACTGATAAATTGAAATTTGAGTTCAGTAGTCGACTATAATGATGATTAGTCGACTACATTGTAAAATAACAGAAACTTATGTTTCTGTCAAACACCTGAGTAGTTGACTATAATCACTATTAGTCGACTATACTGTAAATTGACAAAAACATGTATTTGAGTTTTATACACGAGTTGTCGACTACTATTCTAATTAGTCGACTACTACGAGTAAAAATTCTGCTATAAAAAGTTTTTATAATCAAGTTTTAACTATAATTCTAATGGTTAACATAGGGGATTTCTATAGTTAACCAACACACTAAGCCTGTGTTAGTGTGTTCTAAAATTGTGTGTGTGCGTGTGTGTGATCAAGGCTTGTACAATTATTCTAAGTAAAGAAAATGATCAAGGCTTGTACAATTATTCTAAGTAAAGAAAATGTAAAATACATTATCTCATTTGTTCTTCATTTTTCTTCACTTCAAAATGCCTTGAAATCAACTTGCACTTGTACATATTCTGATATTGAAATCTGCAAATAAA